ATAATTCTAGTCTTAATGCAAGCCTCAAAATGTCTTGAGAAACATCCCGGAGGGTTGTAAAGAGTTAAATTTGCAGTCCTGACTTAGCCCTGGAATGCTTCTCCAAAGATAAAGAACACCAGGGCCCAGATAACCACCTATGACCCTGCCTGGCTTGTTTCATCCCTTCCATGGCCCTAGATACGGATTGTAAGCATAAAGGAAATGTATGGTTATCTAAAGGGGGACATATAGAACAGAGTACAGAAAATACATATCATTGTGCTTGGGTTCATGACAGGAGCCTGACCCAGTTACATGGCACAAGGAAAACAACATGTGGCCAGGGCTACAACATTCCTTTCTGTTACCATGGAAACCAAAAATGTATATAACCTGGGAACAAAGACAGGTCCATGCCCAGTTCCCTGACTTGCAAGTGGGGATGAGAGGGGACCAGTCTAAATTAAAACTTTGTCTGTTCTCTTTGGTCTCTCGGAATACAGCCCGAATTTTTGCCGTAACACAAGATCCAAGCATAGATAAAGAAAGGAAAGAAACAATTTAAATGACCAGGCATGGTGGCACACATGTACAATCCCTGAACTTGGAAGACTGAGGCAGGAGAATCACCACAGGTTTGAGGCCAGCCTGGGCTACATAGTGAGACCCTGTCTCAAAAAGGTAGCTTACATGGAGCAAAACAAATGTTTAACCAAACCACGGGGGGAAATATCCATGCTGTTAAATTCTAATGCAGACTAAAGCAAACTAGAGAGACATTTTAAAACTTCCTAATTGGGCAAAATTTCTCAAAATTAAGAATATACGGTACATGTGGGCCAAGTTGGAATGCAATGGAATGAAAATGCTCCCACATTACAGGTACCATTATAAATTAAAATGACCTCTTTGGAAAGCAATGCTATAAAACATTTCCAGTAATTTCACCCCTGGAAAAGTATCCTAAGGCAATAATTCAACAAAAGCAAAAAGCTGTATGTCACAAATGTGTTTATTACATTGTCAGCTATTACAAAAAATAACAACTAGAAACTAAATGTCTAACACTGGGGAAATGGTACTATAAATTATGACATATCCAATAAAAATGATATCTGAGAGCCTGAAGAAATTGTTTGAAAAAGGCTAATGATGTATCATGGGGTTAAAAAATGATACAAAATTTTACACACAGTAATTTTTCACCATAAACAAGAACTAAATTTTATTCTCTGTAAACAAAAATGTCCTATATATTCCAAGACAACAGCAGCACATAACATTTGGGAAACAGGTATAGGAATTATGCTGAGTTCCATTTTTCTCCTGCTTCTGCCCCTGCCACTTATGTAGGAAATTCATATCCCCTAAATATTTGTAAACTGAGATAAGCAAGTGTGGAGAACAAAAATAATAGAAAATAGTTCCTAAAACATAATGTTTTATACAATACCAATGCTGCAATTACAAAGAAATAGAAAAATTTAAGAGAAGAGTTCACCAAGAAGGTAGAAGAGGGGCTGGGGATTTAGCTCAGCGGCAAAGTGCCTGCCTGGCAAGCGCAAGGTCGTGAGTTCAGTTCCTGGTACCGGAGAAAAACCAAAAAAAAAAAAGAAGGTAGAAGATTAATAGCAGGGCTGATGACTAAAGGTTTTAAATAATTCAGGCTTTGTGTGTGTGTGTGTGTGTGTGTGTTCAGGTAGGTCTAAAGTGAACAATGCTTTCAAAAACTTTTTAATTGAAAGAATAAGTTTACCATTTAATTTATTCCTCAAGGTACCTCTCAACAACTTGGAAAAAAATATCTTAAATTTTCCATTTTGTTGGTAGGTTTGTATATGATGTGCTAGTACTTGAACTCTTTGGACCACTTGGATATGGGATATAAGTATGTGCAATCTGGAAGCAACGCTATAGAAAAAGTTTAATTATCACAGTGCCTTTTGAGGGAGGGAATACTGAGGCTCAAACCCAGGGCCTCAGGCATGCTACACTAGTACTGTATCACTGTGGCACGCCCCGGTCCTATCACAGTGTCTTGAATAAAAATAATTGCTGAACAAATGAGCAAATGCACATTCAAGTGGATAGATGCAGGCAAGGGCCAGTAAGGACTTCTTTTGAAGTTTTCAGGATCAAACCAAGGACTTCATACATAAGTGTTCTACCACTAAGCTATATTGTAGCCCAAGGATTTTTCTTAAATCAAAGTGGTAGGCCTGGCGCTGGGGATTTAGCTCAGCGGCACAGCGCCTGCCTGGCAAGCGCAAGGTCATGAGTTCAATTCCCGGTACCGGGAAAAAAACAAAAAAATAAAACAAAGTGGTGGGCCTATAGGCAATAAGACTATCGTGTAAAAAATGAAACTTCTGAAGTTCCAGACCGAGAGGGTAAGAAGGTAATTGAAGTCACATTCCCAAATTTCCCAACCCCAAAACCTGTCAGAACAAACAAAAGTGACTTAAATCAGCAGAACAAAAGAGCAATGGGGCCCCCAGGTGTAAACGAATGAAAGATAAATAAGCAAAAAATTCCGGAGTAGAGCAAAAAGTAGAACATGGCAACACCCTCAACTTATCCTCTCCCCACAATTCATACCTAAAAACCAGGCCCCGTTCCCTGCAAAGTCATACCTATAAACCAACAAGATCACAGGTCTTTTACTTCTCACCCCAAATCTTATCTTTTTCTCTTCTGATACAGAAACAGAGGAAATGGTTGCTGGAAAGAAGTGAGAAGAAAGCAAGAAACAACAGGGAAAAGTGAGTAGAAGAAAAGAAGGCCCCAAACCTACACGCTGATTGGAAAGCAAACCATGAAGATCTCCCACCCCGACAGGAATGAGTGTGTATCTCCCAACAGAACGGAGTGCATCCGGACCCAAGATGGTTGGCGTAGCCTTAGACAAGTGCTCTACCCCTGAGCCACATCCCCAGCGGTTAGCAAAATGTTAGAAGGAAGATTAAAGTTCAGCCCGCTCTTACAGCATTTTTCCCTCTCTCCCTCCACTTGCCGTTCCCCGAGGCCACAGATAAATTCCTGGAACACCAAATACCTAATCCCCAGAACACAGCTTAAAGAGGAAATAATCAGGTCTCAAAGTAAGAAAAGAGTCCAGAAGTCACCTACATTATAAATTACAAGAGAGTGTCTGGTCAGAGCTTCCAAAACACAACAAGATGAAAAGAAAGGTTATAGAAACAGTACAGATTTATTACCAAAAAAGGAAGGACAGAAGGAAGGAAGGGAAAAGGGGAAGAAGGAGAGAAAGAGGAGGGAGAGAGGGAGGAAAATGTCGCACAAATATAAAACAAAGAATTCAACCAAGAAGAAATCTTGACCAAAAAGAGAAGAAAGCACCTTACATTGAATTCAGAGGATACAATGAAAAGAACATGAATCTCAGTAAAACAAGCTTACCAAATAAGATGATAAAACAACAGAATGAGAGTTCTTAAAAATGGTTACTGAAGAACTGAGGAAACAAGTCAAGCACCCAAAACCAGCATCATGAAACTAATAAATCATTCAGAACAGAAAGCTGAGTTACTAAAATAAAAGGCTTGCAGTACAATTAAAACGACAGCTATCTCAGAACTGTTAGAGAGAACCTAATAGAAATGGAAGACAAAAAGTTCATCTAACAAATGGATGCCATTCCTTAAGTAGATAATCCAACAAATGGAGCAAAGGCTATACTTAAAGACAAAATACAGGGGCTGGGAATTTAGCTCAGTGGCACAGCACCTGCCTGGCAAGCGCAAGGTCATGAGTTCAATTCCTGGTACCAGAAAAATAAACAAACAAAAAAAAATAGACAAAATACAAATTAGTTTCCTGAAATGAAGATAGAAATGATAATAATGACCACAAAATTCCAAATGAAAGAAAGTATATTCTGAGACTATTATACCCAGCTGAACATTTTTCCCCAAGGAATAGAGGACACATCAATCACTATTGAAACAATGACTTCAAAATGAAATCCAGGGCTGGGATGTAGCTCTGTGGTACAGTGCTTGCTAGTATGCACCAAGTCCTGGGTTCAGTCCCCAGTACCACCACCACCCCCCAAATAAAAGAAAAGAAAAAGAAATCCAGGTACGAGGAGATGATCTAATATAAATAATTCAGGGATGCAAAAGACACGGTGAAAGGGCAGATGATGCATGTTGACTCTATTTGATTATAAAATGAACAGTAGAGAAGTAGGGGAAGTGTATTTATGTCAATAAATTTCGATGTTCTAAACCTGGAAAATTAAAAATAATCATAGTATACCTTTTAAAAATCAGGGAAAGAAATGATAAGAATAAATGTATGTTAATGCTCTCATGTCTCCCAGCAGTAATTAATTACACTAGTTAAAAGTGAAACGTGTCACTTTTTAAAATACCCCATCACTTGTCATTTCCTCCCCCTCCCTCTTCCTCCAGCCTAACCCCATGCACCCTTCCTCTCCCATACTTTACTCCCTTCTAAAAGTAGTATTTAATTACGTCTCTCATACTAAAACACATCTGCTTAAAATCCAACAATTCCTTCCGTTTCACTATAGCTTTTTCTTGCACTGAATCCAAAATAAAATTACTAAAATGAATACTTCTCACCAAAAAGCACTCATTTTATAGTCTCACCTTAATAGAATACTTATAGCTATCTTCTATCTGCACACCTACATCAAGACAGATCTGAGTGTGCTCATCAGTATTAGCGATGGCTGCTTCTGGGTGGTGAGATATTTTTGGTTTCCTCTTGAATGGCTTTTGGGGGGGGGGACTCTTTTGATAAGAACAACAGTGAAACTCCATCCAAGAATGCCCTCATCAGGAAATCAAATAACAACAAACGTCTGACAGGCTCCAGGGATGGGGAGGAACTCCTCTACATTGCTATACAAGCATAGCAGAAATCAGTATGGATACTCCTCAAAAACTTAGCGTAGAAATCCCACTTGACCCAGCTAGCCCCCTTCTAGGTATCGTCCCAAAGCGTTAAGGACATCAGATTACACTGACCCGTTCATACTCATGTTTGTAGCAGCACAATTCATAATAGCTGAATCTTGGAACCAGGCTGTGTCCATCACAGATCAACGGACAAAGGCAGTGTGGTGTTTACGCCCCATGGAGTACTGCTCTGCTGCAAAGAAGGGTAAACTCGGGTCATTCGCAGGAGAATGGATGCACCCCGAGACGATAATGTTAAGTGAAATAAATCAGACACACAGCTTAAACACTGTATGGTCTCTCCTACACACGAAACCCAAAATATAAATAAAGAGCAAAATAACAGATAGATACAGTAGGGCCTGGGATATAGCTCAATGGCATAAGCACTCGCCTGGCAAGCCTGAGGTCATGAGTTCGGTTCCTGGTACCAAAAGAAAAAAAAAAAAGATAGATACAG